TTCGATTAAAGCCCACCCAATTGGCCAGCGTTTGAATGGACTCCTTGCTGGCATTGTCGGTAAGTCCTGACAATTTCTTTTCGAATTTCTTGGCCCACGCTGCGGACATGATGTGTATGATGTATGAATGTATATGTATGTATAATATATGTATGTATGTATATATGGATGTATGTGTACCTTTTATATAATATACCTCTAGGTGTTTGATGTCTGTCTATCAAAATGGTAATACAATAATGAAATAAAAGAATATAAAAGAATGATATCCAACACCAAAACGAGAGCTGCGAGATTTTGCTTCGTTGCGGGACGATGAGAGCACGAAAAAATGCGATCCAGCATGCCGGACGACGTATAGACAACGCCAGTTTCAAAAACCAAAACACCAATGTGACGTGAGAGCAAATTAAGAGCATTGAGTGAGAATCCAGTTGCATAGGAACAGTATTGAACGACGACAAAGCTAAGAAGACGAAAGACAAAAATGTCCTTTTGGCAACAATCATTAGGATTGCAAGACGAGAACGAGAACGAGAACAAGAACAAGAACACTGATGTGCAATCAATAGAGGAGGATAATAATAAGGATTTCAGCGAGGATGTGATTGCCAATGATGACAGCTTTGACGATGACCCGTTTTGGGCGGACGATGATGACTATTATGAAGAAGAAGAAGATGATGATGAAAACGATGATGATAACGATGATGATAACAATGACGATAACAATGACGATGACGAAGGTGATAACGACGATGGACTAGAAATAGAATCACCAATTCCTTACAACAATGATATGTCTCCTATTGACGATCACCATGACGATGATGATTCAGACCAAGTTTTGGAATATTTGGACCAAGACCATCTACAAGCTCCTCTTCCTAATATTTCTTCGCCGCCCAAGATTGTTATAGACGAAAGTATTGATGTCCTCTCATTGCCATCTCCACAAGAAGACAAGATGGCTCTTGTTCCGGTGGATTACTCCTTGGCTCCACCAAGACGACCACCACCTCCACCACCACCCCCAAGGAGACCCACAACCACCACAACAACAACAACAACAACAACAACAACAATGATTACCCCCATGACTACCCCCATGACACCACCGCCCACCACCACACGACAAGAAAAGCACATGCAATTTGTCTTTCTCAGTGATCAAAAGGCAGTTCCTTCGGAACTCAAACGACTCCAAGAAACCACGAGACGACGACGA